TGTTATGTGCCAACAGCACCACATTTCACATTGGGTTTGGGGGTCAACTTGCAAATGCCTGGGAACAAAGGTTGAAGGCCCGGGGCAAGCTTGGGAGAGCCTTGCACAGCCAAGTTCACCCTAGAAAAGCTGCTCATGACCTCCATTCAATCACCCCCCAAGATCTTCCCCCTTCCGAACAGCCCCCACCTCTCTACAGAGAAGAACAGGCCAGCGTAAAGAAGCTCTTGCCAGCTGTACACGCACAAATGCCGTGGAGCCCTGTCTGTCTGAAAGGCTCCCTCCCTCACCCAAGCTGGACAGGCTGACCCCACGATGTCCATGGCTGGCTTGTCACAACCTCCACCTATAAATTGGCTTATGGGAGAAACTCAAGACACAGCCAAGACTGTACCAACTAACCAAGGTACTACATAATCAGATATTGGAGGCAGAGGGGTGGTAGTATATACAACATAATGAGTTGATGTGCTACCAATCTGAGGGATGGGTCATTGTGGAAACTCCAGATATTGTGGGGTTAGGGGGGAAAGGGCATTTTTTAACCTTAATTCTGTTAACCCGAATTGCTTGAATAAAAAAAAAAAGACTGTTACAAACACCCCATGTACGATTACCTCCACCTTTCCTGAGGGCAAGGTCTGATCTTGCAAAAGAGGTGAAACAGGAGCCGTTACAACCAGGCGGGCCACATGTGGAAGAACTCTGCTCTGGGGGCAGTGTGTCTGCCTAGCCACAGTGAAGAAAGGGACAGCCCGTTGTTCCCATGCCCACCACTCGGAATGGCGAAGGAGCTCTATCACCCATCCCAGGCCCCTTCAACACCTCTGGTGTCCACATGTGAGAGAAATGGCCAGCACCATTTCCGATTTTCCCCAAAGGTAGTGGAGGTAAAAATGTCCCTCCTTTCAGGTAAGGACATTTATGAATGAAGGGCAGACTCAGAAGAAGCAGAAGTGACAGGGCACATCAGCGCCGATAGTGTAATTCATGGAATAAAATTCCACGTAGTTATAATTCATGGGAAACCATCCAGGCAAGAAGACGCTCCCCTGGCCAGCCATGTGGGGCATCTGAGACGAGCCACCTGGGAGGGCAGGGAGGCCAGACACGATCCCTGCCAGGAGGCCACGATGGTGGACTTCCTGTGCTCACGCCTCTTT